CCCAGGTCGGGAGTGATGGGTCTCAGGGGTAGCTTTGGGAAGAAAAACAGCTGTGAGGACAGAACACCCAAACCCACTGTGCCCCTTCATCTGCAGCATCCACACTGCCTGATAGACCTGCACCCTCTTCCTTCTCCTATTCCAAAATGCAGTCGTCATCCCCATCACCAGCTTCAAGGCAGCAGGAGCAGCGTCCGATGTCGACTCACGGGAATTCTGGGCACAGGGCTTGCTGGGACGCTGGAGCAGGTAGCACCTGCATGGGCCACTGGGGACCTGCTCTCACTAAGGCACCCACGGGACCTCCACCAGCATTGTGTGGGGTGCTGGACCTGTGCTGAGGTGTCCTGCACCCCAAGCCCCTGCAGCCTTGAGCAGATCCAGATTGAGGAGAGGGGGTGGAAGGAGAGCCAGTGAGAACCATGCTCAGCCCCTCAGCATGGGAAAGAGTTATTTTGTAAGAATGTATTTTATTAAAAAATAATAATAAAAATAAACCTTTAGTTTTTCTACTACATCCTTTTGCAGTGCCCATGCTTGCTCTGGTGTACAGTGCTTCTTGGCACCAGGGAATTTGTGCACGCAGAGCAATGCTGCAAAGGGTGTCAGAGCACGGAGGCTCCGTGTTGGACTTGGTGCAGACTCCCCTGGGCTCTGCCCTCCCGTGCAGGGCCGCTGGGCCTCTGGCCACAAGCATGGGTTGTTATCAGCCTTTTCACTGGGGTTTCCGTCTCAGACATGCTGGCTGGCTGGCAGTGAGCCATCAGGAGCTGCTGCCCAGTGCCAGCCCTGCTGCTGCCGCTGCCCTTCTCAGCTCCTTGCACCCAGCTGCAAAGCTGCCCTGAGCAACCCCTGTCCGCACTGCAGGATCAGCCAGCAATCCGGTGTGCAGCAGAGGGCTGCTGGGATGCTGAGCGATATTTCAGGGTGGGAGCAGGCACCGTGGCTGCTATGGAACACAGAGGCCATTAAATTTGGCCGCGAGCTCAGCAAACTTAACATCTAGTCGTACATTCCCAGTGGGGAGCTTATCTGCTCCGAGAAGAATGCCTTGGTTTCGAAGTTTTGTTTTTGTTTTTTTTTGTTTTTGTTTTTGGTTTTTTTTTTAAGATTACCCAGTTGGTTCCTTTTTTCGGTACTCTTTCTCCTGCTGCTGCCCTGTAAGAGAGGTGCCAGGTGCTTGAAGCAGTGGAGCAGAGATGAGGCTGACTCCAGGGCTGTTAATCCTCTGTGCTGGCATCATGCAACATGCAGTGCAGCACAGCCCTCAGCACGCCACAGCCAGCAGAGGGGACTGGCAGACCGCAGCTCAGCAGCCGAAGATGAGAATCAGCAAAACAGGAGCACTCAGTTTAACCTCTGCACCCATTTACACGAGGTCAATCTGCAGGCAGCACTGCAAGTAGAGCAGGGAACTGTTTCTGCCTCCTTAATCTGTCAACCCACTTGTAATGTTAAATCTCAAATCTTACCTTGGAATTATTAAACACAGAATAGGAAATTAGGAAAATGCTCTTTGCAAAAGATCCTATTCACAACCTCTGAGCAGGGATCCCCAATAGTCTCAGAACTGCTTTAAAAATCACAGGAGGGTTTATTTCCGTCTCCCTGCTCACTTTTAAGATACACAGTCTTTGGGGATCCTCAGCTTTGCATTCACTTCCCAGTCACTCCTGCAGGACCACGTGGTGCAATTTTAATACCTTCAGCAGCACAAGCTGCTTGTCCACACCCACTTGCTAATAGAAAAGCAACTCTTCAACAATTAAATGCTGTCTCCATCCCTTTCAGACGGAAAACACAATAGAAAAAATATGTTCTCTAGCTACTCTCTAATCATTACTAACAGGACCAACAAGCCCTTGTGCAGGACACTGCCAGTATAGTGTATCCAGGGCAGCACTCCTGCACCTATCATGGTTGTTCTGAGGGGAGTGAGCCAGGAGCGCAGCGCTATCTCCATGCGAAAAGGAAACTGAGGCACAAACAATTTGTGAATGTGGGTGAAGATGCAGGTGCAGATTCTGCCCCTGAGCGGCTATTACTGGTGGTGAAAGTCACCAGGTGGGAGCTGAAATGAATGTATCTTTTCTTCCCCTCAGGCTTGGTTACTGTGGAATAAATCAAATGGTACAGATATTCCAGAAGAGCGATTGCAGAAAAACTTATTCTGCAATAATTATACTGGTTAGTGATTCTGCAGAAATGGGGAATGATATTTCAGCCTCTGCAGAGCTGGCAACATTCGATCATTATGTTTGCACACAATTCCCAGCACAATGAGGCCACCATTTCCACCTGGTGCTTCTATACACCATAACAATGCAAATTAAGAACGAGTAATGCTGAAAAAGAGATGACCTTTTTCCTGTACGATCTCTCCTGTCTCTGAACCCGCTCATTCCTTCTTTGGCACTCCCTTTTATATTTAACCCAGTTCTCCAGCTTGAAATTTTCTGGTTACACTCATTCCCTTCCTCTCTTGACATTCAGCTGGATATATCCTCAGGATTGACAGCAACATTTACGTCCTCCCAGCACTCAATGATGGTTTTATTTCTTTCTGTCCTAACCGGCCAGATTGTACTGCGTGGGGAAAGGTCCCTCTCTGCCATTACCACGTTAGACATCTGCAGCTGTGCCTGCAGTCACACTCCCAGTGGCAGTAGGTTGGTACAGCTCATTTTCGCTGCTGCCAGCTCCAAATTATGCCATGCTATTTTCTTTCTCTTTCACTGGTGAAGCCCTCTCTCCTCCTGTTATCTATTTCTAATTGCTTTATTGGCTAATTTTAGAAAACATAAAAGTCAAAAGTGGACAAGTGGATTCTGAATATAGCAGCCATGAAGTCAATGGAGCAGCTCCTCAGTGCTGGTGAACAGGGACCACTCCAGCTGGCAGCACTCAGCACAGCTCTGCTCTGCTCTGCTCTGCTCTGCTCTGCTCTGCTCTGCTCTGCTCTGCTCTGCTCTGCTCTGCTCTATGGCACCACAAAGAGTCGTGGCCCATGCTGTTCTTAAAGAAAAGGTTGCTTCAACTCTTTTCTACCAAACACACCTGGGAAATGCCTGGGAAAATGTGAAGCCTCCCTTGGGTGACTATAAATCAGGGACAGGTTAACCAGCAGTCCTTGAACCCAGGTGTATGGGAAATACTCATTACTGACCATTCTACGCCCAACCATTAATGAACAGAATACCAAAGCCTTATTTTAACCTTCTTACAGCCTTCATGGTAGAAGCATCAGTTAAACGTTATTTGGGACTCTCTGTACTGGTCACTGGTGCTTTGTAATGCAACCACTTATGTGTTGTGAAAGAGGAAACTGAGGCACATGGGGTTTGTTTTCTGGGAGAAATAGCAGCTTGTGACAGAGGATTGTTACCCAAGTTATTACACTGGGACAAGTGCCATCGCCTGAGGCAAAAGTTTCAAACCCTAGTGATGGTGCTAAGACTGTTTCAGGTGTCACTGTTTCATTAAAGTGACTGATGCTAAAGGAGGCAGGTCTTTATGGGACAATCTTCAGCACTTCTTAGTCATCTCCTGGGCATGTCAAAGTTCACAGTGAAGCATTCCAAATGATTTCTGAAGCCCCTGAAAATGTTTCTTGGCAACAGTTATGGCAAAAAGAACTGGAAGTTGAACGTTTCCTTGCTGGAGAGAAACTAAGCTGTACCTGTATGAGCAAGACCCTGCTGGTTATTCAGGATGTCCCTGTGAAATAGGGCTTTTATATTTATACATTTGGATCTTTCAGAGAAGGACGCCAGGGATTTGAAACCCAACTGCATAGCTGTGCATGCAGGGATCTGTACTACGGACCATGGAGATGAGATGGGTGCCACTGCTGCACAGGCCTTTTTTGTGTGTGTGCTTCTAGCTGAATTAGAATGAGAATTGACAACGAGCAGCAGAGGTGGTGCCAGGATTTGAACTGATTTCTCCTTGCCTTTGTTTGAGTTGGTGTGAAGCCAGCGATGCTGTGTCCCCAAGCTGCCTGCTCCACAGGCAACCAGCCCTGCCTTGGTGCAAAGACAAACCCAAGGCTCTGAGGGAATGAGAGCATTCTTCAATGTGATCCTGAAACTGCTGCCTTCCTCAAAGGATGTGGCACCATGAACACAGACCTAAGCCACTTCTGGACCCAAAATTGCTACAAGGATGCCTCTCCACAGCAGCTTTGCTGCCTTCAGCAGAGACCAAACGTGGCCTGGAAGGGCAGATAATTTATCCAACGGTGGAAAATCCAGCTGGGTCCCTTCAGAAGCCATGCCCTCTATGCACCATTTGTATTTGAAAGGGACTAAAAATTAAACTGCTAATAGTAAAAACCAGAATTAGCAGCTGTACCAACCTCCCTCTAGTTAACATCACATTGCTTTCACCAGATCCAAGAGTTATTCTCTGCCCCAATGTTTCTGATTCGTGGAGAGTGTTCTCCTCTGGGTTTTCTCTCTGATGATCATTCCTAGGTTTCTAATATAGGAATCATTTAGCTGGATGCAAGAATTGTTTAATAATCGAGCCAGCACCCACACGTACTTGCTCAGTCCATCCCTCACACTGTCAGTTGGAATTGATCATCCCCTCCAACCTGGGGTCCTCTAGGACTCCGTGATCCCTACACTGTCTGTCCCTCACAGCCTGAAACGGCTCCCTGCACGCAGCAGACCTCTGCTCCATAGCAGCGCTGGGCTACCAGCTACACTTCGCCAAGCTAAATAGCCAAAACCCCCGTGTTTTCACCCCGCAGCCTCAGGTGTGCTTGTTGTTTTTACAACACGGACAAATGCCCCCTCAAAAAACAGGGTTTTCCCTCACAACCGCCGCAGCGCACCGGGCGCCGCCTCGCCTCACCTCACGGCCAACGGCCGCCGCGAGCCAATAGGAGCGCGCGCGCGGGCGGTTATTTACAGGCGGCGGGCGGGGGGCTCCCATCCCGCGCGGCCAATGGAGGGCGGGCGGCCGAGGGGCGGCGCGCTCTGATAGGGCGCGTGCCGGGGAGTTTGTCCGGGCGCTGCAAACGGCGGCACGTTGGAGCGGAGCGGCGCGCGGCCGAGGGCAGGTGAGCGGGCGGGAAGGGCGGGAGCGCGCCCGGAGCCTCTCTGCGTCCGTCGCCTCAGCCGGGGTCCGTCTTGACCGGCATCGTAGGCCGCGCTGCGTGAGGAGCCTGAGGGCAATGCGGGGCCGCGTCAGCCCGCTGCGTCCCGGGGCTGTGATGGGAGCGGCGGTTGGGGCTCCGGGTATGTGGAATAAACGAGGGGGGGGGAAATCCTTCCGAAAGCCGGGTTGTGAGCGGTGTGCCCGCGGTGGGAAACTGCTTCCTTTCCAACAGGCTCCGCGATTCCCAATGCGGCTCTCGCTGCCGCTCCCGATAAGGTGTCAACTTGCGGCAGTCTCCGGTGTGTTGTGCCGTCTGACGCGGGCTGCTTTGAAGCGCTGCTTTTGGAGCTGGGTGAAGCAAGAAGGGAGTTGTTATCTCTGTTGCTGGCAGGGGAAGCCCGAAAGCAGAGTGCTGGTTTGTGGCACAGTGCTGCACCGTCCCCAGGCACAGCAGGAATTTGCTTTCCTCAGTGTGCTCCTTTGGCTCTTTCCTGAAGAAGGCCAGATCTTAGCAACCAGGAGCGTCAGCACTGGCCTCTTATCGTTCCAGCGAGGAGTTCAGGCGTGTTATGAATGCAATGTGAGAGCTGGGCTTTAAGCTTCAGTAGTTGCTGAGTGGGGTTGCCTTGTTTGCTGCCTGCAGTGCTTCTGTTCTGGACCCGTCTCCAGCTATTTCTTCTCCTTGCTTTTTGGAATAAGTTTCAGTGGCTGGAGTTGGTGTGCTTGGAGTTGATACGAGTTGTGGTATTGTTCATAGGATGGCACCTTGGCCATCTTCCTATGAAGAGAGCGGGCTGAGCTTGCTCTCTCAGTTTATCCAGTCTCTTCTGGAGCTAAACTGTGAGAGGACCTGGTGTCCTGAGTTCTTGTCTGCCCCAGTATTGCCCTAGTGAGGAATGATGTGCTGCACATTGTTTGAACCTAACTTCTGCCATAGGTTTCTGAGCCAGTGCTTCTAATGAAGTGTTCTTGAAGTGCTGGTTGTCTTTGCCTGGCACAAGATTCTTGCGCTAACTGGTTCTCAAAGACCAGCTTTTCTTTGCTGGGAAGGATTGTGAAGTTTCTCAGGGGCTCTTGAGAGGTGTCTGCAGTGGGCAGCTGGTCAGCCTGCAATATAGGGCTTGCCTCCTCTTCCCACAGAAGCTTTGTATCTTTTACTTTAAACTAATAAAACGTTATCATGCTCCTGGATCTATGAATGAAACGCTGCTGCAGAGATCAAAGGAAGAGTCTCAGGTTCTTTCTTTTTTAGGTACAGATGAGAGAACAGCAGAAGGGTCCCTGCTTGATTGTTGTGCCACCCTGCAGCTGCCAGCTTGGTGAGTACAAGGATGCTGAATCCTGCTTGTGTGCGTACAAATCTCAGCCAAAGTCCTTACCTCTTCTAAGAGGGAAAGCATCTTGCTATGCTGTGAGGAGGAGTTCCTTAAGGGGCTCAACGTGTCTCAAGAAAGTTATGGGGTGTTTGCCTTTAGTGATGAATTATATACCACGTATAAAACCAGTCCTTGTTCCTACTCAGTGTGTCACTGGTTACACTGCAGACAACTTGTTTATGTGCAGTCTGACTAATTTCTCTGCATAAAGGGATGGGAGGTTTTGGGTGGGGAGCAGCAAGAGTCATCTGTGTGCAAGGTTTTATTTTTTTTTTAATCAAATCATCAGCTGATGGAACTGGACAGGGGAAAGTGGGGGAGTACTGCAGACCCTGTGAGTCCCAGGTCATGCAGATCTGACCGTAGTGCTGGCCCAGGCATTGGAAGAATATTTTTTTTTCTCTTCCATTCACAGTGCACTACTACAGCCCTATGATGGATGCTGTTGAAGATAGATACTTTCTCTCTCAAACCATGTGTGGGCAATGGTCTTCCTTGCAGTTGGATAGCTGCTGCTAATCCTGGTGTAATTCTGGTCCTGCTGCAGCAGACAAAATGTTTAAAAGGGCGGCATAGCAATGTTCTGGTTGCTGTGAAGAAGTGCTGTTTGAGTAGCAGTCACCACTGGAGCTTATGCGGTTTAGACATTGGCTGGGTTTGAAGAAGTGGCACTATGCTGAGCTTGCCACTCAATGCTTCAGCTGAGAGTCTGCTTGCCAGAGTACTGTCTTTTGCTGGTGTTTGCTTCCTGAAGTTACTGAACATTGTATTAACCCAGTTGTTTGTGCCAGCCTTTTTTAACTGTGGAAAGAATGGTCCAGTCTGCAAGCTATGTCTCAATGCAGTATCAGTGCTGATCTTAGAGCCTTTACAGACTCCCTGTGAACCTGGAGTAGGAAAAGGCAGCTTCAGGAAAAGCTACCATAAAAGCTGGGGGAGCTAGATGGCTTCTGGGTCTCCAGAGTATGTCTCTGGCTGAGAGGAGAAATCTGGTGCAAATCAGGGCATGCTGCACTATTGGAGTGGAAGGGATGTGTGTTAGTGGGGAGCTCGCAGTCGGGTTAGTGCCCATGTTGGAGTTGTGGAAGGCAGTTGGCTTGATAACATCTGAAATCAATATGTGCAATTACTCTGCCTTGAGAAGATGTCTGGGGAGAGCCTGCCCATTGCTGAAGTGCAGGTAGCCGATGAGCAGGAGGGTAGATGGTTCTGTTCAGCTCATCTCAAAGCACCAACAAACACTGATGTGAGGGGAGGAGGCAGTTTCTGCTTATGGGGGGGATGCGGTTCCCTTTTGGGGCTCTGTGCCGATGCTGTGCATGCAGGCAGTGTAAGGAGACAAATAATGGGAGGGGAAAATGGCTTGCTTGAGGTCAGTAGCAAAGGTTGCATTGAGTAGCAGCTCTTCTTTGACACCTGTGTGAAGGAAAGTGAGCAAATGCTGCTTCTAGGTGACTTTGCACTGTCCTCTAACTTGTGCTCTGGCAGATGCTGGCTGCTGCCCAGCCCTACCCTGCTGCTGAAGTTTGGCATATGGAGAAGGCAGGCAGTGCAGCAAGTTAACTGAGGGCCAGTGAGGAGGCGAGTTACAGATCAGCTACTTGCCAAAAGCAAAGCCTGGGTTGCATGTGATTTAAATTAGATATTAATGTTAAAAAGGTTAAATGTTACTGGTTTATGCCTTAAAAATAAGAAAGCAAATGCATCTCAGGAAAGCTAGACAGACAGTCTTCACCAAGTTCTTCAAGTTCAGGTTCTTCTGCTGAGCTTTTTTCTTCATAGCTTTAAATTCCTCTTCTCTGATATGGAATCATTTTATGTCACTAGGTTCTCAAAGCAAGTGACATCCTGTAGCAAGTGTCTGAGCAGGTAGGTGACCCAGTCATCTAACAGGCAGTTAAACTGTGAAAGCAGTGAGGAGGATTGAAGTGTATAGAAGCAATTGCTGACATAACTCAGTCATTTGTGGCAGATCTGAAGTAGTTAGTAATCTTTATGATATAGCATCAAAGTGCTGCGTACAGTGGATGTATGAATGATATCAAATAATGTAATTAAGCATGTGGTTTTAATTAAGACAGTGGTTAAGCTTGATGTGCTTGGAAAAAACTGTCTGAAGTGCTTAAGAGAAGATAACTGTAAATTGGCTGGAAGATAAAAATGGGAAGAAACATCATAGATGTGTGGGAGAGTGGCTGTTGATCTGTGGCTGCTGGTGAGGTGTAAGGTGGTATGCATACCTTTATCTCTCCAGAAACTCTGTTTTTCAGACTTGTGTAATTATATTAAAGACACACAAGTGGTGTCTTTATGGATTGTCCTTGATCATAAAAAAAAATGTGCTTAGTTAGGGACATACACACTAGACCGGAATTGCAGATTTGTTTGTTTGAAGGTGAAACAGAAGCTGTGGCAAAGCAAGGGGGTCCCCTAGGGAAGGCTTGTGCCTTACTTCTAGGGCTGCCACAAATGAACAAGTGTAACTTTTTTCCCAGGATTAAACTTCAGGCTATCAAACAAACAAACCAACAAACAAACAAACAAAAATCCCACAAAACCATCTGGGAATTTGACTCTGCCTTTCCTATTTTCCAGCTATTGAGGTGCTGCTTTTCATTTTTTTTTCCTGTAATCTACGCAAATATGGTCATCAGACAAAGTTTATCATTAATGACAGGGTGTAGTCAAACACTGCTTAGCTGTACTTCTAATTTGCTTAGGGATTTGCTGAACTTGCTGGTAATGTTTCTTAGAGTGGGTTAAATCTTCAGAAACATTTTTGTACTCAATTTCAGGCTTCAATTTTATATTTGGCATAAGTGATAGGGACAGAAACAGATGGAGAAGTATAAATATTTGTCATAAGTGTCAAATATGTGACACTGGAGAATGATTTCACTGCTTCTATGTGCTTGTGTCCCTGGATGGGGAAGTTCTCTTGAAAGGTCAAAACCTTTTGAGGACACAGTGTGTTTGTGAGCTGGGACTTGCAGTTGAAAGGGAAAGCTGTCCCATGGCAGCTGAGAGCTTCTCATCCTGGAAACTTGCTGGTTTGGGAGTGAACCTGGCTGAAAATAAATCCCTGTATTTTATTTTCTGATGGCAACCAGCTCGTGAGCTGAGTCATGCCTTGTGATAAAGGTGTGGTTTGCTGAGGACTTATTTCTGTTGGGTTGCTGCCCTGGACAGGCATTATTTTAGAGTGAGTACCTCAGAGGGAGTTGTGTGGTTTTTTCCAGAAGCCATTTGGGATTAATTTAGCCTGTTTGTCTCTGGGCTGGTTTCAGTGTTTTCTGTAGATCAGTGGCTGCATTCTGGGAAGGCTCTGAAGTGTTGTAATTAATTCTTCAATGCTATTCAGAGTATATGGTGAAGTTGTTAGCTAGTTAACAGTGACTGCTCTAATTATTCTGGTGTTAATACAAACAGTGAGGCTGTGATGTGCCATTCTGTGCTGGAGCAGCATGTGTATGTGTGCCTTTCTGAGATGGAAGTGCCCTTCCATCTTTCCTGTTCCTGTCCTGCACACTTTGCAGGCCAGGTTCCAAACAGGAAGGCCATAGAAGCCTAGCCTCCTGTTTTGCTGATACCACTGTTGAGAGGCAGCTACTTCCCTGAGGTCAGTGGACCAAATTCACGAGTCTCACTCATTTCTCTTATTGCTGCTTTCTGCAGTTGCTTTTCCCTGTTAGTCTCTGCTTTCCCACACCACTGTAAATGAGCAGGGTCACACCCCATCCTTTTCAGCTGGCAGAAAAGCCTGGATTCTTGATTGGAGTCCTTGCTGCAGAGCTGGGGTGGAAGAGTTGTTGCTTTTTTTTCTTTTTTAAATAGATGGTCAGAAGTATGGAGTTGCTTCTCAAGGTGGGAGGATGAGAGCAGCTCCCTGAATCCTGTGATTCTGGTGTCATATCCCACGTATGTTTCTAGGGTTGACTGCTTGTTTTTTCTCAGCCAAGTGGCTCCATAATTGTGTGACCTTGTGAGGACATTTAATGATATACTATGAATAACTATTAGGCCCCTCTTTCACTGTGCATCTTTGCACAGTTTTGTGGATAACATTTTCTTCACTTTCAAAGGAAAAAAAAATATTGCCTCTGGTGTTCTTACTTCACATTATTTCTGCCGTGACTCTTGAACTCTATACTAAATAGATGCATTTCCTACAGACCCACAAAGCTCTGAATTGCAAAAGGCTGGTATACTATGTAGGATATTAACACAGATTGATTCATTTTCCTTCTGCTATGGATTTCCTTGGTAACATGAAGCCCCAATTCACAGATGGACCCAAACACTGTTGTGCATAGCAAAGGTGTTAAACAGAGCAGACATGAGGGGCTCAGCTGGGGTGGGGAAGAGAGGAGTAAAGAAATGCTGGGGAAGCCCAGGCTGAATAATACCTTGTGAGGTTGCATTAGTGTTGGATTTACAACTGTTAGCCTCTGCAATGGGGATACAAATGAGTCATACCAAGGAGTGTGAGATCATGCTCTACTGACCTGGACTTCAGTACCTACATTTGGCAGCTGAATGCTGTATGAGAGCAGTGCTATGCAGCCATCTGTTGCTGTTCTGGTGGCTGGTGTTCCTCCCTTATTCCTGCGTTACTCAACTGATTCACAATTTTACCTTGCTGTCTTTGTGAATGCAGCAAAGGTTCTATCAACCCTGTAGTTTTTGTTGCCTTATTAACTTAAAGGGCTTAACAGCACAATAGTCTAAGATAAAAGCTTCAGTGTGGGTGCTTCCTTCTCCCACCTGTAGGTTGTGGGATGCTCAATGGAAGCCCTGCTGGAAGAGATCTGTAGCTGCTGCTTCATGGTAGGTCTCTGCTACCGAACTCCCCCATGCACAGCTCTAGCACATGAGGCTTTGCCTTTCTGTGGGCAAGAAGCTGGAAGCTGTGTCCTTGTCAGGAACCTAGGATGAATCTAAGG